AGGGAACAGGAGATGATTCCAGCAGGGATCAATCCCATTCCTGGAATGGACACAGGAGGGAACAGGAGATGATTCCATCCCCTGAAGCCTGGGAAGAGCCAGGATGGGAACAGGGATGAGCAGCTCCCCAAGCCCAGGGACACAGCTGGGCACAGCTGGGCACAGCTGGGTCACTCCCTGTGCCCATCCCAGCCCCATTCCCACCCTGGGCACAGCTGGGCACAGCTGGGTCGCTCCCTGTGCCCATCCCAGCCCCATTCCCATCCTGGGCACAGCTGGGCACAGCTGGGTCACTCCCTGTGCCCATCCCAGCCCCATTCCCATCCTGGGCACAGCTGGGCACAGCTGGGTCGCTCCCTGTGCCCATCCCGGCCCCATTCCCAGCCCAGGGACACTGTGGGGACACTGTGGGCACAGCTGGGCACAGCTGGGTCGCTCCCTGTGCCCATCCCAGCCCCACATCCCCCGGAGCCGAGGCAGAGCTGGGACCCCAGACCCACCTGACGTCCTCCAGGAACTTGTCGAGCTCCAGGAAGGAAACCTCGGAGTACCTGGGCAGGGAAGACCACGGGAGGGGTCGGGGGGATCCCTCAGCACCGGGACCTCCAGGCTGGGAGCTCTGGAGCCTTCATCATCCTCACCTCCACTGTGCCCCGGGCCGGCCCTCCCTGCGGATCTCGGCCATCACCATGTTCAGGTCCAGCTCCTTGATCTTCTCCTCCACCACGTTCTCGGGCATCAGATCTGGGGCAGGGGCACGGGGGGGCTGGGCTGGGGGTCCTGTCCTGCAGCCCCAGCTCCGGGGAGGGGCTGGGGGTCACTGCCTCCCTCCCCAGGCTCTGCTCGTGGAACCTCGGGACGTTTGGGACACGTTTGGGACACGTTTGGGACACGTTTGGGACACGTTTGGGACACGTTTGGGACATTGAAGCCCACCCAGTGCCACCCCCTGCCATGGCAGGGACTCCTTCCCCCGTCCCAGTTTGCTCCCAGCCCTGTCCAGCTTGGCCTGGGGCGTTTCCAGGGATGGGGCAGCCACTCTGTGCCAGAGCCTCGCCCCCCTCACAGCCAGGAATTCCTTCCCAAAATCCCTGAGAACAGTGAGGATTTGTCTTTACAAACGAGCTGGGGATCTGCTGGGAGATAAAACCAGCACGGGGAGATAAAAGGAACAATGGGAAGGGTTCCACTGATTGATGAATGGAAAAAGAGATTTGGCTTTACAGACAAACTGCAGGGCTGCTGATAAATGAAATTGGATATCGAAAGATGAAAGAAGCAACGGGGGGAAAACTATGAATTCTGTAAGAATTAAAAATGCAAAGGGAGGGTTGTACATCAGAGGGGAATCTCGGGGACCAGGGGGTTGGGAAGTCTGAGCCTCTCAGGTACCTCAGCAATGGGGAAAGAGAGAGGGAAATGTGGATGGGAAATTGGGATAAAAAGGGAGGTGAATCCTCCAAAAATTGGAGATGTCCCATGGCCTCTCCCTGTATTCAATAAAGCAAAAGGACTCCTCTGTCTCCTTTTGGACCTCTGGTGTTTGTGGGCTCATTTTCCTGGCACAGCCCCACCCTCTGGCACTGGGAGCCATTCCCTGTGTGCTGTCCCTCCATCCCTTATCCCAAATCCCTCTCCAGCTCTCCTGGGTCCCCTCCCGGCCCTGCCGGGGGCTCTGAGCTCTGCCCGGAGGCTCGGCCGTGCCAGCCGGGGGTGCCAGGGCGGTGCCAGGCACTCACACTGGTGGTTGATGAAGCAGTGAGCTGCCAGCAGCTTCAGCGAGTGCACCTCGAAGAGCACGCGGTGGAACAGGAGGCTGTTGGCGCTCGGGCGCCTGTCGGGGTTCAGGGTGAGGCAGGACAGGATGAACTCCTGGGGGCACAGCACGACCCTCACATTCCACACAGCCACGGAGCCCTGGCACCCCCGGGGAGAGCTCCCAGCCCACGGAGCCCCCCCGTGCCAAATCCCCACCTGGGCACCTCCGGGATGGCACCAAACCCCCCTGGGCACCTCCGGGATGGCACCAAAACCCCCTGGGCACCTCCCAGAATGGGCACCAAACCCACCTGGGCACCAGCCCAGGGCACCAAAACCCCCTGGGCACCTCAGGGATGGCACCAAAACCCCCTGGGCACCACCAGGATGGCACCAAACCCCCCTGGGCACCAGCCCAGGGAACCAAAACCCCCTGGGCACCTCCCAGAATGGGCACCAAACCCCCCTGGGCACCAGCCCAGGGCACCAAAACCCCCTGGGCACCTCCCAAAATGGGCACCAAACCCACCTGGGCACCACCAGGATGGCACCAAACCCCCCTGGGCACCTCAGGGATGGCACCAAACCCACCTGGGCACCTCCCAAAATGGGCACCAAACCCACCTGGGCACCAGCCCAGGGCACCAAACCCCCCTGGGCACCTCCGGGATGGCACCAAACCCCCCTGGGCACCTCCGGGATGGCACCAAACCCCCCTGGGCAGTTCCAATCCCTGACCCCCCTTTCCATGGAGAAATTCCCGCTGGTTCCACCCTGAGCTCCCCTGGGGCCGTTCCCTCCCCTCCTGTCCCTGTTCCCAGACCCCAAATCCCCCCGGCTGTCCCCTCCTGTCAGGGACTTGTGCAGAGCCACAAGGGCCCCCCTGAGCCTCCTTTTCTCCAGGCTGAGCCCCCCCAGCTCCCTCAGGGATTCTCCAGCCCCTTCCCAGCTCGGGATTTACACCCAGGAGTAACCCAGGACAGGATTTACACCCAGGACAGGATTTACACCCGGGATTTTCTCACCCTCATGTTGGGATCGTCCAGGGAGTGCCGCGCTCTCGCGATCGCCTCCTCCGACACCCGCGTGTCCCCGTTGGTCTGGATCTCCAGCACGGCCATCTGGGGGGACAGGGACAGGGCTGGGGGAGTTCCGGGGAC